AAATGGCCAGAATGACCTAGATCAGCGGTTCCCAAACTATGGGTCGCGGGAGGAGACCAAACTTTGAAAATGTGTTTGTTTTTACTGGGACTCATCACCGAAACCGGAACGGTGTAGTGAGCACCAGAATAGTACCAATCGGCAGTGGCGGTTCCAATGGGGGGGGGGGCTTTGGACCCTGGAAAAATAAATTTAAACGTACATTTCGTCCTTAAAACACACAATGTCTTAAAACAAACATCAATCTAGTTCTTATTAAACTTAATAAGTGATGGCAGGAGTAGTTAGTTCCACATAGATTAACTTTGTGGACAATAGCACAACTAATAAAACAATATTACACCATGGAAAGTTGTAGGCATCATCCAATTTTTCCAGCAGTCAGCTTTTGACATGCTAGGGCAAAGGTGAGCGCCGAGCGAGGACGGGGAAACAGCTGATTTCCTGATGTTCCATAGTTAGTTGTCAAATTGTCTGCTAGCCACTAACTTTACACAGGCATTAATCAGCAATCAGTGGTAGCACCAGTAGCTTATTACCATTGACTATATAAACACTAGTGTTAAAGTTTATATAGTCAATGCTATTACTGAATTCGATACTATACATATTGTGACAGATCTATGAAATAGAGAAAAACGTAAGATTAAAAAACGTGTCTACTTGCTTGCATGGCATATAACAGGTGAAATGGAAGGTTTTATGACAATTGGGCACAGTTCTAGTCGTTAGAAATTGCTTTATAGAGTCACCAAATGGCTTTTAGGAGATATGGCTTCGTAGTCTACAGTAGGCCTATGTTTTGAAATTCATGAATGCAAGTTCGTCATATTTTTATTTTTAAAATGTCTACTTGCTCATTGTGGTGAGTGCTTCAATACTGTTGAAAACCAGCTGAAAGTATAACTTTGGTTTTGTTTAAATGAGTTGCTATGGTTACCTAACAGTTCATTCCTGGTTTTTATAATTCATACACTTATGTTTTTGTCATGCTCATTAAATTCTATTTTCTATCAGTTTCTTGAATAATTTTATCATAAAAGTAACAAAAATAGTTAAAGAAGAACCTACTTCTTCACTCATGATGAAGACAAATAACAGGTGAAATGGGAGGTTTTCGGACAGTTGGACACAGATATAAACATTAATATAATGGCTTTAGAAAGTCAGTAAACAGCTTTTAGAAGGATATGGCCGTAGCCTACTATAAGTTTTGAGATTTATGGATGCACTCCTCATAGTTAGTTTTAAAAATGTCAACTTATTCATGATAAATAAATGGGGAAATGGAAGGTTTTGCACACAGTTCTAGACGTTAAAACTAGCTGTTGAAAGTCACCCAACGGCTTTTAGGAGGATATGGCCATAGTCTACAGTAGGCCTATATTTTAAAATTCATGAATGAAATTGTCATAGTTTAATTTTTAAAATGTCTATTTGCTCATGACAAACAACAGGTGAAATGGGAGTTTATGGACAGTTGGGCACAGTTTTAGGTGTTAACAATGGCTTTAGAAAGTCACCAAACTACTTTGAAAATTCCAAATTTTTCCGACTCCCGGACCCCCCTGCTTTATTGGGGGGTGCTCCACAGCCCACAAGTCCCCCTTGACAAGGTCCTAGAACCGCCACTGCCAATCGGGTAGCAAGGGGCACGGCTGTACTCCTGTACAATTATGATATTTACTGTTTTACAAGATTGGTGTTTAACTGTCTTTAACTTAAAACTAGGAATTTTGAACTCTAATTGTTTGGGAAATTTTAATGTGTGGATTTGATTACTTCATTAGGATTTTGTTGACTTAATAAAGCTCTCATAGCAACCAAGAAAATTTCTTCAAAGTTTTTGTGACCTATAACTAAATACACCCGCTGCAACAAACCTGCCGACTAAGCGAATTTCCATTTGTCTGACTTGGATTTTCAACTAAACCTATTTAAATAACAATAGGTTTAAAGAGTACCTAGGTTTGCTGCTACAAGGAAACTAATAAAGTGTATTTTTTGGTAAAATATTAACAGCGTAGTATAAAATAAATAAATTTGCCAAGTTTGATCAAAATATATCCATAAACAAGCAAACTACAACATTTTACAATATTCTCCATAAGAATACTGTAGCATGGGAATTTTAAATTTACAATTTTTGTATTTTCTCCTTTACCTATAATTGTACAAAAACACTTTGACATAGGTACTAAATTATTTGTTTTTAAGCTCATACCCCGTAAAACCCTGTTCCTATGGTCCAATCATGCTGGTTCACGAACTCATTCAAGTTTATCCCGCCTTACATCTTTAAACCAAATTTCATCAAAAATCAGACAAAAATTACTCAAGTTATCGCGTGTACGGACGTATACAAAAAATTTAAACAAATGGTGTTTTTGGCCTCTGGGGGACATCAAAATGAAAAAGTACATCGGTCCCGAGTCTAGGTCTTACCATGCCACCTACGGTAATAGCTACTTCCCTAAAGGGAAACTCGCTAAAATGTTGCCGTGATAGGCAAAGGGCCAACCAAGCCTATTAGTTTTTGGACCAACCTTAATGACGTGACTTGGAGATGGTCATGTTACCGCGAACGAGGGAGTTTATTGGGAAGTGACCGTGATCATTGGAGATGATCAGGTTAGTGCCATGATTACAAAATATAAGAGTAGTTTAGTTAGAATGGGTTTTTGAGAAATGCACAATTTACTATAAACCAACTTTGTAAACATATCAAACATACTTTTATACCCCTTTTTTAAACTTGAGTTTTTATAGTAAAATTCCCAGGAAGGCTTACTTTAACTCAATTGGGTTGTAAAAAAGTATTTTTGTGTGAGGTTAACCTCCTTAAATTAAAAACAGAAATAGAATATGTGTTGAAAATGCCCAAAACACATACAGTAGTAGTAGTCAGCATTCAATCCACATATGCTAAGTCACTTGTAAATATTAGGCCTAGGCCTAAACTTTGGTTGTAAACAAATCACCTTCAACTTTAACACACAAAAATGGCTTAGGTTAAAAGTGGACGACTAAAATTAATCCTTCCCCTATGCAGGATTATAATCTAGCATGTTTTAGTCCGTGGACTAAAGCATAATTTCTTTAGTTCAGAATTAAAAACTAGTTCTTGACTAAGATTAGTTGCTGACTTATAAGTACTCGAATCAGAAAGATATTTTTCTTAGTCCAGTACTAAAATGAGCTTTAGTCTCAGACTAGCGCTAATACCTGAATCAGAAACCCGCCCTTAAAGTTTCTCAAACAATAGTGTTTTGGACTAGCATTGTATTTTCATTAGCATCATACTCACAATTGTCATCTATATATTTAATACGCGACATGAAACTTTGTGAACAATAAGGCTTTTAACAATAAGCCCCACATATTATATACCAAAATGTTCGTCTGGGTGTGTAGATGTACAAACTGGCTTTAGATTTTTAAATATATCTTTTTAAGGGCGTGGGCTGCCCTCAAAGTTACTTCCATAAAGATAACATTGTGATTGATTTGAATGTTATTATATTCTGAAACAGATGACAGTAGATTAGTTAAAAAATAAATAAATCCCAGCTGTTTTGTTTGGTTTTAAAATGTAAACAGATTGCATGTTTTAAAAAATAATTAGAAACCCGGCAAAGAAATGTTACCTATAGGACACGACGGGAGAAGTTTTACATTTTATTTTCGTTGAAACATGCTAAGGACCCGATGACAAAGAAATATTGCCGGTTAGACACGGCGAGTCAACATACGGCAAGCAATGCAAAACGTAAGGAGCCCAGACGAGGAGCTGGAACAGTTAGTGGCAACGTGTACTTACAAAATTACACTGGCAAATACAAGAACTCAGCAGCATTCACTTGGCGAGATGGCATTAAAATGTTAGAAATGTGGTGCGCTACATTTTAAAGAAGAACAATGAGCACGAGGCGAAGGATTTCCATCCTGCTGCCATAAAGGAAAAGTTAATCTACCACCATACAGAGAAAGCTATTATATCCAGAGCCTACTTAATGGAGCAAATCATTTGAGAAGAAACTACAAAGAGAACAGATTGTACAACTCTGCCCTCGCAATGGTCAGCACTCGAGCTAAAATTGAAGAACATAACGGTGGAGGGCCTTTCTGTATAAGGTGCACGACACAATTTATCACTCAATTGGCACCTTTCAACCGTCAGAAGGGGAGCATTCCACATATATGCCCAAATTTATATCTACGACGTCAAACCGCTGTTGAAGAAAGAATGCTAAACAAAGCTAATGGCTCTTACAGCACTGAACTCGTGCACATTTTGACTCAACATTTGGTTGATATTAATCCATACGCGCAAGTTTTTAGCATGATGAGCTCCGTCCTGCAAAATACTCCTACAGCAAAAAGAACTTAGAATGCATATAGCCAACGATCGAGCCCAAGACCAACGTCGATACAACGACACAACTTCTAACGACGTTGCTATAATATCCTAATTTATTATTCGTGCGAATTCGCACGGGTTCACCTAGTTGAGTTATAATACGTTTCTCAGTATAGGCCCTACATGATAAATATTGATAAAATCATAATAAATAATTTAAAATCCCCTAAATAAATAAATAACAAAATAAATAATAAATATAAATATCTCTTTAGTGAGTCGGTGGCTCAGTCGGTAGCGTCGTGGACTTCGGGCCCAAGACAGCGATTTCGTGGGTTCGGATCCTGGTCACTGCCACTAAAATTTATCAGTACAGTTCACCTTTGTACTGTACCGGCTCACTCCTTGCTTTGCTGTAAACGTTCCACGCACGGGCAGTTAGTCTATGAGGACGGGCAAATGCAAGGATAAAAGAGGCCGCCAACCTTTTTTAAAAAAAAAATAATTATAGGCTACTATAATGATTTAATACGAGGGTCGCAAAAAAATTCCAAGGCGGTGGTGGGTCGCCAGACCAAAAGGTTTGGAAACTGCTGCCCTAGATCATATTATATTGAATTGCTGTGTTTTCATTATTCAGGTTGTCTCTTGACCACAACTTGTTTGACTCTTGGGCTGATGAGCATGAAGAAAGGTGACAAGAAAATGTCACAACTGATGATGAGGGGAAGAATACTCGCTCAGGGTTTCACACTTGTAGCTCTGGTCACAGGACTATGTATAAAGGCTTCTGCAGACTAAACACATGTTAAATACTTGTAACTTCTAGCTTGCATAGTTAAATATTGTAAATAGTACCATATATGCTCTTCAATTTTTAAATCCTAATTAAAAATTTGTTTTCAATAATCATTGTTGGTTTCCTTGAATGAGAGACACCTGAACCCAATGGTCCTATATTAATACTTATCATTTTAGTTGATGTGAGCCACCAACAGGTTGTGCTGATCTTAATCACTAATTTCTGTCAAATACACTAACTTTTTGCAACAGATTATTTTGATATGGCTTAACTGTTACAACTATGCTAGCAGCAAAAGATCTTTAGGTAGAAAATAGAAGTATAGACACTCATGCATTCTGTGACTAGTAGAGGGTAGGGAGAGAACTGGGCCGGAAGTAGATGTCGTCAGATGGGGTAGAGTTAATTAGTTTAAAGGGTATAAGGCGGAAATGACGTAAAAAGCCGGAAATCCGGTGTTAAGTCACTTGTGACGTATGTGGGTAGTGACGTAGGTTGTTGAGGTAATTTGTGTGTGTTTAAAAGAATAGGAGGCTACCTTACAGTTATAGTGTAGGGTAGCTTCTTTCTTTTGTTTATTCTTTATTTATAGAAAACAGAAGGAATGAGAGTAAGTTGTACAGTTTGGAACTCAACAAGATTTCGTTTTTAGCTCATGACGACAAAAGATTCGTTTGTAATGATGGCATTAGGACTTTGCCGTGGGGACATTACAAAACACCTGAGAATTAAAAGATGGAGAACGAGGTTAAGTTTGACTAAACTCGAGTGTAAATGGAAAGACAATGGAATAAGTCAGAAATAGAGACTCGATATAAAACTCGAGAGTAAGATTGGAAATAGCTGAAAAATTGATTGCCAAACCAAACTTTATAGATCGAACAGTGTACAATGAATGAGATCTTGGGAAGGTCATTTTTATTTTTTTTTTTACAGAACAACTTTCATCATTAGTACCGTACATATGAGTAAGACCAAACTTCTATTCAACAAAGCAATCTACATCGAGTTGATTTGATTCACCCACCGTTGGTGTTTATTGTTGTTTATATCTAAAATTTGGTACTTTTTGTCTCAAAAAGAACCACACATTGTATTCATTATATACTATTATTGTGTCCAGGTCCACAATAATATTTTCAGCCGAATTTTGTTCCAGGTCCACAGTACTGATAGCCCACACTTCCACCAGTAATAATTTTTACCTCCGTGTTACCCGATTTTTTAATTATTCGAGGTAGTCTCGGTCCCGTTTCGCTCGGATAATCGGACTTATACTGTACTGTACCGCTAAAAAAATTATGATTGCCGATCCGGACTACCGGGAGTCTGGACAAGGCCGATCCGGATGAGCGAGAGTCTACTGTAATACTAAACTGTGATCAAGGATGTTTAGAGTTGGAAATATTTCTCCATACAGATGCCGGCACAGCACAATACTATTAGCATATACTACATTACCGACTTGTTATAGATTGCAAATATTTCTCGACACCGCCCGCAGGTGTGTCCACCAACAGAACGATTAATGCGGGCTACAGTTTCGCATTCAACAGTAGTGTACTTCGTTGCCAACTTGGATGGTTTCCAAGTACTGCTTTACCGACTTGTTATGGATTGCAAATATTTCTCGACTCCGCCCGCAGGTGTGTACTTCATTGCCGACTTGGATGGTTTCCAAGTACTGCTTTACCGACTTGTTATGGATTGCAAATATTTCTCGACTCCGCCCGCAGGTGTGTACTTCATTTCCGGCTTGGATGGTTTCCAAGTACTGCACTACCGACTTGTTGCACAGACTGAATACGACCTTTTGTACATCAACAGACAGGTGGTCAAGTACTTTTCTGTACGGCACGTAGACAAGGGAAGATAGGGGTATTTTAAATTTGGAAATTGTTTAAAAGTACCAAATTTTAGATATAAACAACAATAAACACCAACGGTGGGTGAATCAAATAAACTCGATGTAGATTGCTTTGTTGAATAGAAGTTTGGTCTTACTCATATGTACGGTACTAATAATGAAAATTGTTCTGTAAAAAAAATGACCTTCCCAAGATCTCATTGTACACTGTTCGATCTATAAAGTTTGGTTTGGCAATCAATTTTTCAGCTATTTCCAATCTTACACTTGAGTTTTATATCGAGTCTCTATTTCTGACTTATTCCATTGTCTTTCCATTTACACTCGAGTTTAGTCAAACTTAACCTCGTTCTCCATCTTTTAATTCTCAGGTGTTTTGTAATGTCTCCACGGCAAAGTCCTAATGCCATCATTACAAACGAATCTTTTGTCGTCATGAGCTAAAAACAAAATCTTGTTGAGCTCCACACTGTACAACTTACTCTAATTACTTCTGTTTTCTATAAATAAAGAATAAACAAAAGAAAGAAGCTACCCTACACTATAACTGTAAGGTAGCCTCCTATTCTTTTAAACACACACAAATTACCTCAACAACCTACGTCACTACCCACATACGTCACAAGTGACGTAACACCGGATTTCCGGCTTTTTACGTCATTTCCGCCTTATACCCTTTAAACTAATTAACTCTACCCCATCTGACGACATCTACTTCCGGCCCAGTTCTCTCCATACCCTCTACTGTGACTTGCTTACAAAATTATGCTCTGCTTTAATAAAACTAGCTGTTACCCACGAGCTCCACCCCGTTTTACTACATTAGTATTAATAAAACTATTGATTGGTTAAGTTAAGATGAAATAAACAAAACAGAATACAGTAATGGCAATGCAAACAAATAATAACAGCTGAGGTATTTTTAACATTAGGTAAATGGAAAGTTCCCTTTGGAAAGCAATTACGACCTTATAGGGCAATTAATGAAATAATGGATAATTTTGCGCAAGGTTTCTCATCATGACGAACATTTTAAGTATATGGTTTATGGGGGTGTGACTTGTAGTTTTCTCAAAAGTTCATGGGTACTTTTGGCTTTATATATAGACTAGTGTACCTGTTGCTCGAATTCGAGCAATTGTGAAGCATTGCAGCCATGATGCAATTGAAGATGCTCATTGAAGCACCATGCCCTCAACTTACATTTACATGTACCCCTCCAATCACAAATACCATCACACTCACATCTAAATGAAAACTTTCAATTTCATTTCAATCTAATATATAAAATTCTCGTGTCACAGTGTTTGTCTGCAAACTCCTCCGGAACGACTTCACCGATCGTTATGAAATTTGGTGTGTAAATTCTGTAGGTATGCGAATCGGACGTAAACTATTTCCCGTTTCGAAATTCTTAAAAGGGCTCCGCCCCAGTGGCTCTGGAGTTTCCCATGTTAACCTTATGAGAAATGGAATTATTGAATCTTAACAGCTGTTTCAATTAAACAAGTTGGTTCTGTTCTATGATGTTCAATAGCATTAAAGTTACAAGGATTACCAACAGGGTGCAGCACTATTTTTTTTTTAATTTATGACAACAGCTAATTTCCAACCAAAAGGTGAGTGAGCGTAGCGAACGAACTTCAACCTGGAGGCGAGTTAGCGTAGCGAACGAGCTAACCTGAAGGCAAGTGAGCGCAGCGAACGAGCTCCAACCTAAAGGTGAGTGAGCGTAGCGAACGAGCTCCAACCCAAAGGTGAGTGAGCGTAGCGAACGAACTTCAACCAGGACGTGATTGAGCGATGCGAACGAGATCATCTTGAAAATTAAACGTAACGGTACTTTCTTTCCATCGGTCTGTCTTAGGGGAAACCTATAACTTAGGCGATACGAAGTTCGCCGGGTCAGCTAGTTCTCCATAAAAACCTCTCCTATCATAACTACTCACAAAGATTATGGAAATACTAACGATCTACACAACAGTTGGAAATAATCAAAATCTTTTGTAAATATCTTATCTTTTTTCAAAAAGATTATCTTGTTTTTTTAGTGTTTTCTACAAAATTTTCCCTCTCATAGCCGCATTAGGTTGTCTACATAACGATTATAAATATAAAAAAAACATTATTTCTATTTCTTTTACTTGGTTGTGTTCTATGACTTTTTCTATGTTTCCATTGTTTGCAAATCGGTTATTTCAATGATTGCTCTAGAAATGTAAAACAGTGTTAATTCAGTTTTATTTTTAGCCTATATCAAATTGTCTAGGATTTCTCACTCTTTTCCATTCTAATTCTAATAATTACACCAACCCAAGTTTCGTCTACAGATGCAATATGCCCACGAATATCACCTACGTACAATCTCCAAGAAGTAGTAAAAAAGGCAGAAACCAACCCATACAATAGATATGAGTTTACTCCAAAATAAATAACTGATCCCCTGAGAGCTGATCCCACCAGCTGCAGCCACCCTTACACCGCTGGAGCTGACTGGCGCCAACACCTCCACCACACCCTGTCCTGGCAACCACCTGCCCGCATCTCCCCATGGTTCCAGCCGGTGCCAATGTGTAGTGAGTGATGTGAGCCAGCCAAGTGAGAGTGAAAGTGGAGGTGATGGTAATATCACCCTCAGCCCTGTCACTACCTTTGAAATGTCAACCACCCCTAGCCCTCCACACTCTGTCAGTCCTCCCCACTCTCCAGATTTAAAATCTCCATTCAGAGGGTTTGCAACCCCTAATTCTGATCAACTTAATTATATAACTACTAAAATAGAAATTTATAAGATTAACAGACCAAATGCCATACCTTTTTTAGGAAATTTGACCACGTTCCCCCCATTAGTTACAAAGTAATACCTAACATGACTGATGTGTTTGATAATGGGCAGTATTCTTATCCAGAATCTGATAAAGGCGACAAAGGTATCGGTAATGAAATTGTGTTGTCAAAAAATCTAAGTAATTGTATAATGCACTACAACATTCAAGGAATTAAGCAAAAATTTGAAGAGATAAATATTTTATTAGAAAGCACAAAAAATGTTAAAGTAATTTGCTTTAATGAACATAATATAAAAGAATCAAATAAACTGTTGTTAAATAGAATACACAATTTCAGTTTGAGGGATGGATTTTTCAGGAATTACTCTAGAGGTGGATCTTGTATACTAGTCCATGATTCCCTTTCTACCATTTCACGACAAGATCTAAGTAAAACTTTCAATGAGGAGTTTAT